GGGAGAAAACACAGAAACCCACAATTCCCTTTGCAATGGAACTGTTCTACATTTTCTTCTACATTTCCCAGCATTCCCTGGTGGATAAATATCCCATTTCCACGTCCATGGGGACAGGACACGGAGCTGGAACCCCCCTGGTACCTCTGCCACTGCTGCCCACGCGGAAAAACAGGAGAAAACACAGAAACCCACCCAGCACTTTTGGAACTGTTCTACATTTTCTTCTACATTTCCCAGCATTCCCTGGTGGATAAATATCCCAATTCCACGTCCATGGGGACAGGACACGGAGCAGGAACCCCCCCGTACCTCTGCCGCTCCTGCCCACGAAGCGCAGGTCATTGAACCGCGCCACCTGGTTCTTCATGGCGGCCGTGGCGTTGCGCAGCTCCGCCGAGTAATTCTCGTCATTCCCGGCCATCACCGTCACCAGGGTCCCGTCGGGGACGTCCCCCAGGGCCACCACCTGCGACGGCAAGAGCAGAACCCTCAGCTCCCTTCGTTTCTCTCAGAGGGAAAACCCGGCGGAAAAACCGCGGTGAAAATGCGGGTGGGCCGAGCAGGAGTGGGAGGAGATGGGAATCGTTGGTGGTTTTTGGTGGGATGGGAATTCTCTGCTTCCCCCAGATTCCCCTTTTTTATTCTCTGATCATTTTTTTAGGGTTAGGGGTTTTCAGGGGTTTTCAATTTGTTGGCGGAGTTTGAGTTGGGAAACGATCAATGGGAGCGTGGTGGTTGATTTGTTGCTGCACTAAAATGTTTTCCAGTCTGGATAAAATAATTGGAATTCTTCTCCACGTTTCCTGGAGAAGCAAAGGACCTAAGATAGTGAATTTTTAAAATATAATTGTATTATCAGAACTTATATTGTTTAAAATGCATTTTTTTTTTTTACTCCTCATCGGGGATTTCTACCATTTAAACCTGATTTTTCCTAATGGTTGGAAAGAAATTTTGTGGATTTTTACCATTTAAACCTGATTTTTCCTAATGGTTAGACAGAAATTTTGTGGATTTCGACCATTCAGAACCTGATTTTTCCTAACGGTTGGACAGATTTTTTTGTGGATTTCTACCATTCAAAACCTTATTTTTCCTAATGTTTGGACAGAAATTTTGTGGATTTCTACCATTTGAAACCTGATTTTCCCTAATGATTAGACAGAAATTTTGTGGATTTCTACCATTCAAAATCTGATTTTTCCTAATGGTTGGACAGAATTTTTTTGGATTTTTTACCATTTAAACCTGATTTTTCCTAATGGCTGGACAGAAATTTTTTGGATTTCTACCATTTAAACCTGATTTTTCCTAATGGTTGGACAGAAATGTTTCTCCCTCGATGCACCTCTGAAACACCCAATGTGATGTGAAATGAAAAATGCTCTGAGATGAAAAATACAGAACAGGAGCTTTCCAAAAACCTCTGTAATTGCCTGTAAATAAATTCAAGTAGCAGCGCTCGATGGTTTGATTTATATCAGAGCTGCCCAAGCAGAAATCCAGAGCAAGGCCATGGAAAATCAGGCCTCAATCAAATGTTTAATCCCAATTAACTGAACAATTCCTTTTTTTTTTTTTTTTTTTTTTACCTTCAGGAGCATCGAGCAAATAATTTGCAGACCTCACCCTCGAGTGGATGGATGGATGGAAATCATGACCTGAACTAAGGACTTTCCCCTTATCCCAAAATATTTGTGCTCCTCGGTGCCAGGATCCATCAAACCTCTGGGAACAAAGGTTTTTTGAGGAGAAATATCAAGATTTCTGAACATAAATATTCTGATTTGTTTACGCTGTTCACGCTGGTTTAAAACTGAAATTTCCTGAATCTTCTTGAATTCCCTCAACAAATTCCACCTGCTGGGATTCCCTGGATATCTGGGATCTCTCCCCCACGTCCTCTGACAAAAATCAGAGCTCGAATTATTTTGTCTCGTTTTCTTTAGAGCCCACTGCTGTTTTTTTTTTAATTCTCCAATTCCACAGCACTGCCACCACAGACCCCCCCCCCCAAAAAAAAAACCAAACCCAGAGATAAAAATCCAGCTTGTTTTTAATTCCTCTTTCACCCTCTGGAAGAGGAACCAGCCCTGCATTGCAGCTCGAGATTTTCCTTCCTCTTAACATTTTCTGACTTCAGCCCAGGCAGTTACAATGGGCTGAAGTTTGTCACAACCTGATTTTATTCCTCTTTTCTGATCTCTTTGCTCTTTCCAAAGGGGATCAGCAGCTCCTTTACTCCATCCAGCCCTGATTTTTACTCCCCCAGCCAAATCCACCTCCTAAAATATGAGAGAATTCCCCATTTTCAGGGATTTCCCAGCTTTTTTTATTTTATATTTTTTTTTTTTTCCACGGGAGGTTGAGCTTTTCACTTCTGTCCTCTCCCTTTTGCTCACCCCTAACCCTGATTTTCACTTCCACATGCGAAGCTGAAATCTCTGGGTCAAAATTCCCTCTTTACGTTTTGATTTCAACTTCCTCTTTCCCCGTTCCTCCCCGATTTTTGGGGTTTTTCTTCTCCTCTCTGTGCTGTAATTTGGTTTTTTTTTGGGGCCTGCTCTCAGCTCTGGGCTTTTCAGATTTCCCTGATTTTGGCAGAAACGAGGCCCTGCTGGAAATGGTCACAAAATCAGCAGATCTGCAGCCAACCCTTCAAAATTCCTGCAAAACCTCGATGCATCCACATCTGACAGAGAAAAAAAAACATGGAAAAGGGAAAATCAGGGCACTACCCTGCCATGCAAATATTGAATTGAAGGGAATTTATGCCAGGATTTTAAGCTTTCACAAAGGTTTTTCACGGATCCAGGGCCGGTTGTATCCGACAGAAATATTTTAAAGCTTTCAAATCCCAACCTTGGCGATTAAAAAATGGGAAGAAAATTTTTAAAACGAGTTAAAAACTGACCCAGACCAGCAGAGAAACTGGACTCGAAAGCCACAGACGACAGAAACAGAAATACAAATATTTCCATTTGAAAAAAAAAAAAGACTAAACAGATAAGCTGGGACTTGTTAGTGGAGTTATCAAGGATTTTGTTGTACTTTTTACCTCTAAAAATTTGCATTTCCAGAGGGGCAAGAAGAACATCAGGCTTGCAGTGCTGTGGGATATCTAAATTTACTTCTCCTGCATCAATTAATCCAAATTGGGCCTCTTAAATTAAGATTTGGATTCTGAACAAGAAGCAGCTGGGCAATGAATTTCTACGACACCTTATGGGTTATTGTGAATTATTTTTTAAGTTTTTCAGACACATTTTTAAATTTAGGGGAAACCAATGGAAAAATTGATCATTTTGGTTTGAAATAATATCCCAATCCTGCAGGTTTTTCTGGTGGATTTTTCTAAATGTGAGGAGAAAACTCTCTGTCTGCCTCTTTTTATTCCTACCATGAATAAAAATACCAAATACTCGATAAAACTCAGCGCTTTTTTTGTCAGATGCAAACAAAATATTGGCAGCAGAGGAATGATCTGAACTGAATTATTTTATTTTTTTTCCCTCTGGGCCAAACGATCTGAAAAAAATCCCGATTTTGAAACCTGCTGTGCAAATATTTAATATTTAGCAGAAAACCACTGAGATGTGGCAAATTCTTCCAGGATTTATTTCCCAGAAGTCCAGGGAGAGAGAATTTGGGGGATGAGGAACCAGCAGGTGCCTCCCAGCCCTTCCAGGCTCTCCTAATTTTCCTGTGGCTTTGATTAATTTTTAGTTTTTTTTTTTCCTCTCTCTCTCTCCTGGCTATTTCCAGGTGGAATTATCCCAATTTTCCAAACTCCTGGAGAAGCTCCCGCGGGGTGAGCACTGAGACTGAGGGCATCACTGAAACCCCCTGGAATTTTTTTTTTTTTTAAATTTTTTTTTTTTTTTATTTTTCCCACATCGTGGGGACATTCCCAGCTTCCAGGGATGGGGGCAGGAGAAGGAAAAGTCATTTCTCCTATATTTTTTCCTCCACGCCGGGATGTGGCTGGATCCCCTAAAATTTCCTGAATCCCCTAAAATTTCCTGGATCCCCCAGGAAAAACCGGGAATCCTCTTATCTCCCTTCCCGGCCTTTTGTGCCTTCCAGCAGGAAAATTTCTCTGCTAATTACAGCCCGGTGAATGGGGAAGAGTGTAATAATTAATCGAAATGTGGGAATTTAGGAAGTGACCCCGTGATCGGTTCCTCCCTTTGCCCCGCTCTTATCTGCGGGAAAACAAGAGCAGACACAATAAAACTTTTCCCTCGTCAGCAGGAATTCCCAAAGCTGAGCTGATTTCCCTTCTCCCTCGTTTCTCCTAAAAAAAAAAAAAAAAAGTCTCGAGTCTGGTGGCCTTCAACACGAAAAAAAAAA